TGAAATCTAAAATTGAAAGCATTAGTAATATAAAATTCTTTACCAAGTTTTAACATATTGTCTTTTGCGAAATGGCATTAAAAATAAAAGTAAGGCTGATGATAAACACACCTCCTTTTCAAATAAATATATATATAATTTCTAAATTACCCTTAAAAAATGAAATTCCTAAATTTATACTTCCCTTCCCCGCACTCCGTTTCCCGCACCCCTTTCCGGAATGATGCAGTCTCAGATCTCGTGCCTGTCGCAGCTCAACGCGCCGCCGGTGTCTTACCCCGGCGCTCCGCCGCTGGTGATGCGCCCGCCTGGCCAGATGCCGGGGTACCCCGGCCAGGGCCCGCCTCCCATGGTGAGGGGACCTCCGCCGCCGATGCCGCCCGGGAAATTTGCTCCCAGGCCCGGCGGTGCTCCACCGTAGCCTTACCCTGTTTCGTCACAGTTTGGACAGCGTCCCATGGGGCCTCCTCCTCCTGGTCAGATGGTAAGGGGTCCTCCGGCACCGCCTCATCCCGGGATGCCCGCTCCGCCACCGCCTCGCCCCGGCATGCCACCACCACCTGGAGGTGGTGTTCCAGAGTATGGTCCTCCTCGACCTGGCATGCCCCCTCCGCCAAACCCTCCGAATCAACAGCAACAGTAATGGGAGAAGGGATTGATAGGTTGGTTTGTGCTGTTTTGCTCATTCCTCTCTTTTAGATTTAGTTGAGACTGTGTGTTAGCAGAATTTGTTTTGAAGTGAAGTGATGTATGTTTAAATGCGGGGTGCGGGGAAAGAGGGTCACTACAAAAAATAATGTAAATAGTAGGGGTCTTTTTTTGGCGATTTTAAAACATTTTTTCTAGACATCTCAGATGATGATCTTCGTGAAACTGCATATGAGATCCTCTTGGCTTGTGTCGGAGCCACAGGGTATGCTGTCAATATATGTTTGCTTCAGGGGATGTCTTTTCCTTGTTTACGTGTATTCTGTTCTTTATGTTAAAACTTTGATCTGTTTCTTGTTTATCAGGGGTCTGATTGTCCCATCAAAAGAAAAAAAGAAAGAAAAAAAATCTAGCTTGATTAGGAAGCTTGGGCGTAGTAAAAGTGGAAGGATTTTATCCCAGTCTCAAAATGCTCCTGGATTAGTTGGCTTGTTGGAAACTATGCGTGTTCCAATGGAGGTATATAGGGATTTAGATTCCATTTACTTATACTTTAATCCATTGGTCCTTCCACTGATTTTTTGTACCATTGTTTTTTTTTTGGTAACATAGTGTAGTGTACTCTTATAATGTTTGACAGCCTCTGATTTCTCTAATGAATATCTTAATTTAGTAAAACCTTTATGATATTGTGGCTTCCTCTTTTTGTTTAGTGGTTTAGAGGCTGAATTTTGCATTTATTGAGATGGAATTTGATTAAGAGTAGCTAATCAAATATTATCTTGTTAATAGCATGCACAAAACCTTACCGAGGTAATTAACATGTCATATAATTATACCTGGAGATACATATCCTTGAGGAGCTAGAATAAGCCAAAAAAAACTGCAGTGATGACTGTCAAATTTTGAAGTGATGGAAAAAGGTATATCAAAGTCCAAAATACTTAAATCTGATGAAGCCTGCAAGATAGAAAAAATTGATCAAAATTTTAAACATGGTTAAAGTATGATTGGAACAAACAAAAGGAAACTCTTTAATTTTTTTCCCATTGGGATTGAAATATACTCGAGTTAAAATCCTTCCTACAGGGGTTGAGTCAAAGAACAACATGGGTTGATTCATTCTGTTTGGACCATTTTAACCTTGCCATAATGATTATGAGTCTTATCTTGATCAGAAGATTCATAGCCACTTGCATTTAACAAGTTTTAATACTTTATATAATTATAGTTTAAAATGATTTAGTATTATTTTTAGTTTTAATTTATCTTTTTTATGTGATTTTCTAGATATTTCCAGTCTGCAGTATTAGACCTGAAAGCTCAACTCAAGCCAGCTTCTATGCAGGTATTGTTTACCATTAAGTGTTTTAACTGGATCTCTGAAAATAATCTTTTTCACTGATCATCCTTCATTCTTTATCAATTAATTTCAAAAGCACTATTGTTTCCCAATTTCTTTGAGTCATTTAAATATTGTTTTACTGATACCTTGCATCCATTTCTCAGATTTTTTTTATTGGATTTTATGTTTTACGTGTCTCATATTTTAGAAGAAATGTTTATCCTATGCTATCAAGTGCTAAATAGAGATTTCAAGTTTGCAGCATGTATAATTGCTTGCACTATTTGTTTATTGGCAAAATTCTTTATAACCCAATTGATTTAGTTAAAATTTGTTTAAATTAGGTAACACTTATACTTTTCCTCCGAGTAAACCAAGAGATCATTCCTCAGGAAATTTTCCTTTTGTTGAACTTTATTATGTTCTGTAGTTAATAAAACCTGCAAACTTTCCTTGGTTGTACTTTTGCAAACTTTTTTGTTTTATATCTTCCGGTATCTTTTGGATCATTTGGATTCTGCTATTGTATGTTACAACAACCAGGTTGTTTAAATCTTGTGTTTCTATTTACATATAAAATGCTTCAAGGTTGAAATGCTAAATTATCCTCCAGGCACCTTTGCAGTTGCTCTGTTGGACAATCCTATGCAGTCCAGGACCACTATTAGTTGTAAACTATTCAGTATGTTTGTGGCGGTTTAAAACTGCCAGATATGTTGAATCAAGAAAAATTTAGATAAATTTTGTGGCGGTTTTAAACCGCCAGAAAATGACAAACAAGTCAAACAAAAATGCATTTTATGGCGGTTTGAAACCTCCACAAAGAGGTTGAATTTTCTGGCGCACTAAACCAGCGTTTACGAAATATCCGCCAGAAATAGTTTTTGTCGACCGTAGATCCGGCGGTTATTAGTGACGCCGGTAATGTAATTTGTGGCAGTTTTTAACCACCAGAAAAAACCAAATTAACCGCCACAAATCACACATTTTTTTGTAGTGGGTGTGGGGTGAGGGGAAGGGGGGTGCGGGGAAAGGGATGTAAATTTAGGAATTTCATTTTTTTAAGGGTAATTTAGACATTTTATATATCTTTTTTTAAAAAGGGGTGTATTTGTACGAGAGTGGAGGTGTATTTATCATCTGCCTAAAAGTAAAAATAAAAAACTAAAACAACTAAAATAAATTAATATTACTATATTTTTGTTATTTGGGCTTGTAAAAGTGTCCAGGTTAAAAACCATTATTTTTGGGTTTGATGGGCTTTAAACTCTACTTATGAAGTTTTAGTAGTAAACGCTTTGGGCTAAGCGCTTCAGTTCCGTTGATTTTGTTGTCCAATAGGCATCAGAATACTCAATTTTCAAATGTTCATTCTTTCATTAGATTTTTACAATAAGCCAAATAAAAAATTGGGGTACTACTGATTGCTATAAACAATAAAGATATGATAAAAGATGTGTAAAGCAGAGTTTCATTATTCTTTTCTTCTTCTTTTGGATGAGCACAATTTAGATTTTAACTTTGTTAAAGTGAGTGGAGTGCTGTAAAGGGCAAAATGCAGAACTATAACTATTGATAAAAAAAAATGTCAATGAAATAATTAATAAATTGTTATTTTTCATGTTAACAGTTTGATACAGTTCTAAAATTTTACTTAGCCCTTCAAAGTTACATCCTTTATTTCATGGGAACCACATGCCGATTTCCATTTATAACTAATTCCTTTCGTTTCTTTCTTTTAATATTTTTTATTTTTAATTAAAAAAATGTCAAAATCCCCCTCCCCCGCCATTTTCTATTTGAGCTGAAAAAACCAAGGGAGTTTATTTATTTATTTACCCACCTCCATATATGAGAACTTAGTTTTTATTGCTTTTTTGTGTGTTTTGAGATTTTAAGGAAAAAGCAGAAGACAAGAGAGACAAGAGGGAACCTAATGATGCAGACGACAAGCAGCTTAAAAAGAATTCTCAAGATGTTGGGCCACGATTGGCATGCCAATTTCTTTTCAAATCACACTTTTATTTTTCCAGCTAAGTAGCTTTGTTGGAACGTCTAAATTAGCTTTTCAATTCAACCTTCATCATTTGAATGCAGATTGTCTTACGTCATTGCATTTGCATGGCCAATTTCAGTTTCGATTCTTCCGCGAATTTGAAATCCCAATATTGGGAATCTTATAAAAACTGTGAGAAAAAAGTATACATTAAGAACTTATAATAATAGACACTGCAATTTAAGAATCACACGTGGTTCCAATTTCCAAATAGCTGCTGCAGATAACCCGTGTTGGATACTAATTGGATATTGCTAATTAATCTGAATCATACACAATATACTTGGTATTTTGAATATGTATTATACAGATGAAATGTTGTAAGAATTCAATATACAACCTTTTGTTTTTTATTTTTTGTTTACAGTGAATAACATGCCAACTTCTAGAATTTTGATACTTTTGGTTTAACTATGCTAAGATCTGTGCTAGAAATGATTTTGTAATACTTGATGTTTGGTAAGGTATGTGTCTCCTTTATCTTATAAATAAATACATATCCTCGACATTATCATTTTTCGAATATAGGATACCCCTGATACGTGTCTCATTCCCAACCTGTCATATAAAGCTTATCAATTTAGGTAGATCCTGACATGGAGTATTTTGCACGGTTGCATTGCAGTGAATGTGATAAAAATGTCAGGTAGAAAGTAAATAAAATAACCCCAAATAATTTACTAATTTTTACACTTTAATGTAAAATTTGTTTTTAAAATCAATTTCAATACACATTTCAATCACATTGTACAATTCAAAATCATTCTACCAAGATCAATTGTTTTCCACTTTAAAACCATAATAATAAAAACAAAAAACTTGTTTTTAAGATCTGGTTGCTTCAACCAGCAAATTTTCTTGCAAGATAAAACACCAGTGTCTCTATCCACGTGAGTTTGGCAAGTATTTGACTGAACAAGATATTAAAGAATTTCAAAAGATTCAACAAAATCACTCGAAAAGGAAAGGATCCTTCCAATAATATACTTATCCTCTTCTAAACACAACATAATCTACAAACATTCTTAATTATACAACATGAAAGATATACTTTCACCATACTTTTTTTTGTTGTTGAGAATTTCCCCATTTTTGGCAGTACCTTCACGCTCTTGCTAACAAACCATCCTTCTAGCAGTTCTTACAGATGAAACACCTTCATGAAAACACTCTATTAAGCGTATAGAGCTAACTTTTAACAAGATATCCAAGATAGATAAAACCCCCCAAAATTTTCTACACCCAAAACCTCAAACACTACTCCAGAGGTTGCTGCATTGTCACAACCAGGGGACTTGTGACAATATGCTTCCCATCAGACCAAACAATGGAACCACTCTTGACACTAGAACCTCCAGGGGAAAGCTTAACCGCCCTAGTTTGTACCCTAACAAGAAAGCTCAACTTCTGCCCCACCCTCTTGAAAGTCAGAGTCTCTGGCTTCACTGTGACCACCATTCCCCCTGGTGGATTAATGGTGACCTTGTACACTGAATTTGGGTCCCCAACATTGGTCACAGTCCTAATAAAGTGAGTAGACATTCTCCTCTTTCCATATTGCTGAAACACTGCAGACAAAGAAGGGTAATTCAGGTTCCCAGAATGTCCAGCTCTCTTAGCCCCACTGCAATCAGCATTTTTCCTAGTGATCACATGGATGGTCTTAGTGGTATAATTGGAATTGCACAAGAAATTCACATAATCAGAAGTGGAGATATCATAAACCAATCCGGGGTTCATGGCCTTCTCAGGATGAACATGGCCAGCACCATAATCAAACACTGAGGAAACGTTCCCAGTGGACTCATCCAACATGGGGTGACCCCTATTGTCAACAGTGTAAGCAGTGGTCATCAAAGCAGACCTAATAGCAGCAGGACTCCAATCAGGGTGTGCTGCTTTTAACAAAGCAGCCAAACCAGAAACATGAGGGCAAGCCATGGAAGTCCCAGAGAGAATGTTGAACTCAGTCCTGCGCCCATCAGAGGGAAGACCAGAAGGCCCAACATGGTCAGGCCAAGCTGCAAGAATGTTCAACCCTGGGGCAATAACATCAGGCTTCAAAATCTCAGGGGAAACAGGGTTAGGCCCTCTTGCTGAAAATGATGCCACCACAGGAGCTGGCCTTACACCAAGCCTAGTCCCTTTGAACACAATTGTAGCAGTCGCTGGCGACCGCGAACTCCCAATGTACCTCCGGATTTCGTCGCCGCTGGTGGCACCGACCGAAGTGGCGGGCAACACGTGGCAATCAGCCACCAATCCTTCACCATCAAACACACCATTGGCCAAAATCATGCCAACCCCTCCATTTTTTTTCACCTCCGCACCCTTCGCAGTCCTTGAATTAATGCCTCTATCACACACAACAATTTTCCCCTTAACAAACTTGGGATCCAAGGAACCTTCTAAACAAAGTGAAGATGAATAACCATCACCACCACCAAATTGTTCTACACCAGCATACACTACCGGGTACATTCGACCCGGAGTTAAACCCGGTCCATCGTAGATACCAACCCCAGGTACAATTTTACCATTTCCAAGCTTAACATCCGCAGGAAAATCCCTATCCATGGTCCCGGCGCCGACAGTGGTCACCCACGGCGCCACATTGGTCACCGTAAGCCCGCCGGGGCCGCCGTTTCCGGCGGAGGAGGAGACAAAAACGCCGTTAGAGGCGGCGCCGAAGGCGCCAATAGCAATCACATCAAGGTGGTAGGGAACCACCACGCCGCCGACGCTCAATGACGCCACGTCGACGCCGTCTGCGACGGCGGCGTCAAACGCGGCGAGGATGTCGGAGTCGAAGCAGCCGCTGCTCCAGCATACCTTGTACACGGCGAGGCGCGCCTTGGGCGCCATCCCGGCGGCGACGCCCTTGGCGTAGCCGAGCGTGGACGCCGGCGAGACGTAGCGGCCGGCGGCAATGGACGCCGTGTGAGTGCCGTGGCCGTCGGTGTCACGCGGAGAGCGAACCTCCGTGGTTTCGTTCATCTTGCCGTTGGTGGCCTCGTAGCCGGCGAAGAAGTATCTGGCTCCGATGAGTTTCCGGTTGCAGGAGGTGGCCGGAAAATTGTCCCCGGCGACGCACTGGCCCTTCCATTTGGGCGGAACGGGGCCGAGGTCGCGGTCGTTGAAGCTCTGCCTCTCCGGGCAGATTCCGGTGTCGATAACTCCGATGACGAGATCGGAGCCGAAATCGGTCTCGTGGAGCAAACCGGTTCGGTCGGCGGTGGTGAGGCCGAGGAACTGCGGCGAGCGCGTGGTGTGCGGCTTGCGAACTTGCTCGGGAATGAGGGCGATGACGTGGCTGAGTGTTTCCACTCTGTGCGCCTCTGAAGTGGTTAGCTTGGCGGAGAAGCCGTGGAAAACGGTGTCGTATGTGTGGATTATGGAAGCGGTGGTGGAAATAGAAGAGAGGGAGGATTGGTACCAGTGCTTGTGCGTTTGGAATACGGAGGGTTTGGCGTCGCGGTGGACTTGGATTATGAACGTGCTTCTCTTCTCTAGGTCCAAAGAAGCAGCGAGTGTCCAAATGAAGAAGAGCAACACGAAGGCGTGGAAGCAGGGAAATGGTGCCATTGAGGAGTGGAGAGTGGAGAGTGGAGTGAAGGGGTGTTGGTGTGGTGTGAGGATAATTTATAGTGTAGAGACTAGAGATGGAGAGTGCAGGACAAGAGTTTGAAATTTAAAATATGGATTCCCCACTGTGTCAAAGTAGAAAACAGCTGTTCAGATTACGTTTACCGATACAATTTTGGAAACAATTTAATTATAAAAAGGACGCATGTCAGTCAGTAACTGGAGAAAATAATAAATACTAATAATTACTCTACTCCCAAAAATAATAATAATTCTTCTTTTTTTAGAATTTTTTACTGGAATAATATTTTTTTTAAAAAAAATTACAAGAATGATCACTGTGCAGGATTATTTACCAAGATAGAATCATTTACTGTTCAAGCTCAGAATTCGGTTCCCAGAGAACCGAATTCTGAGCATCAAAATGTAATTTTTTTTTATTTTTTCAACTCAGAATTCGGTTTCCGGGGAACCGAATTCTGAGTTGGTTTTAATTTTTTTTTTTTTTTGGTGTATGGGGCAAATTTGGGCTGATGTGGGAAGCGGAACGGCCCGTTCCAAAAGCAGAACGGGCCGTTCTGCTTAAAGAAACAGAGTGCAAATTCTTTAAGCAGAACGGGCCGTTTCACATTCAGAATTTGCACTCTGTTTCTTTAAGCAGAACGACCCGTTCTGCTTTTGGAACGGGCCGTTCCGCTTCCCAGATCAGCCCACATTTGCCCCATACACGAAAAAAAAAAAA